CTCCGCGTCCCGCTCTTTTCGTAGGGCCGCTCGGGCTGTTAGGCCCTCGGCCAGAGCGCTCGGGGCCTGTCGTTCGACGGTTTCGGCCCCTCGCTTAGTTTAGGGTTAAGGGTTAAGGGTTTAGGGTTTAGGCTTTAGGGTTTAGGGTTTAGTGTTTAGGGTTTAGGGGTTTAGGGTTTATGGTTTAGGGTTTAGGGTTTAGGATTTTGGACCATCTGGGACTTATGGAAACTCCAAACTTTCATTGCCGATTTGTTGAGGAACATGCCTTTGGATCAGATGAGGGATGCCTCTGTACTTCCAAACCCTAAACCCAAAGCCGTGAACCCTAAACCATATTGATTGATTAACAGGTCTCGGAGCGTCTGGCAAAAGTCCCCTTCCTAAACCCTCAAGGGTTTAGGAGCAGCGCAAACCGTAACAGTGTGGGCTTTTTTAATATAAAGGGGTGAGATAGGCTTCATGCTTATTCGGGGCTTAGGGCCAGGGTGTTTATACACGTTGTAGAGGGTAGGATACCCTGAAGCCTAAACCTGTTGGGGCTTAGGATAAGGCTCTCGAAATTGAACTGATATGTTGAATGCTCCAACAACCCGACTACAAGGCTTACTATAGTCGTTGCCCAAAGCACTACTCATGCTTAGTATACAGGCTCCTACGAGTTCCCTGCAGACCCCGAAGCTTGGCAATACAACACATCAATACCTGTAACCCCGAACCAGGCACCTCTAAATGAATCCTCCCGTCGAGCAAAGTTGAAAGGAACAGTTTAGGGTTCAGGGTTTACGGACCCTAAACCCTAAACCCTAAGGGTTTAGGGACCCTAAACCCTAAACCCTAAACCCTAACAGGTGGGGAGTTTCGGGTTTAGGGTTTAGAGAGCCTTGGCACAGGGGAGATCTTGAAACTGAAGGGCTTTGGGTTTAGGGCTTAGGAAACTTTAATAAAACTGCAGGTGGGGAGTTTAGGGTATATAGGGCTTCTGAAAAGCTTCCATAAGGTCTATAGACCTTCTATAAGGCTCCTATAACGGTAGCTACCCACCTGAAAGTGTCCTAGATTTAGGGGTTTAGAATATCTGCCTAGCCTGTGGATCCAAGAACCTAAAATACTGTTGATGGACATAATTCTGCATGACCCAAATATAGTATAGTACCATAAACCCCATAGTTTGGGTATATAGGGTCATGCAGGATTTTGTCCATCAGCCGTATGATAACTTCAGTAGGGCTTCGGGGAAGCCTCGTTAACGAGAACCCTAAAGAATCATATTGGCAATCATCCAGGCCCCTACACTAATTTGCTGAGGCTTCTGCCATACAACCAGGACTTGGTATAGTTGCACCGGGGGACTTGAGGGTAGCGTGTGCCAGTAGATAGGGATTGTACTACCCCAAAAACATTACTCGCTATCAGGGCTTAGTGCGTAAGGGGGCACGAACGAAACATAAAGCCCTGCAAGAAAGCCTCGTATGCAATGGAGGGTCTTTCCTTCGCGAAAGCTCCAAACCCTAGGCCTGTAAACCCTAAATCCCTGAACCACTAAGCCCCAAACCCGAAACGCCCTAGACCACTCAACCCTAAACCTTAACCATGTGGGTAGTTGTCAAAATTATGGTCCCTTTTGGGGTACCCTAACTAATAGGTGCCGTATTATAACAAGGACCCCAAACAGGGACCCTAATTTTGACAACCACCCATGTGTAAACCACCGAAACGTGACAGAGGCACCCCTGAGATCCTCCAGCCACAACGAACAGAACCGAAACCCCCTTGAAGGCGAAACGGGGTTTTGGGCTTTAGGGGTTTAGGGGTTAGTTAGGGTTTAGGACCAGAATGTTTCCCTAAAGGCCTATCTGCTCAAATAGCCCTATAGTCCCTACATAGGTACTTTGGGGCCAAAAATTTTACGTCTATAGAACCCTTCCAGGAACCTGTATAGAAACGCTGTAGGGCCAAAGTATATACTATTTGGGCACATGGACCCTGAGCGGTTTAATAGCTCGTTCTCTTGTTACCGCCGAGCTTCTTCGCACCTTGAACCCTATATCACTAAACCCTAAAACCCTAAACCCTAATAAACCTTAAATCCCAAGGAAACCCTTACAACTCTAAGAAACCCTAAACCCTAAGACACCCTAAACCCAAGACACCCTATAAACCCTAAGAGCTTCACGAGGTCACGTTTTGACCAAAGATCCGGGCACGGGTGTCTGCGATGGGGAGGCACGGGGTGACGCAATATAGGGTTTAGGTTTTAGGGTTAGGTTTTAGGGTTTAGGGTTAGGGTTTAGGGTTTGGGGTTTGGGGTTTTGGTTTTTAGACAAGGGCCTAAGTAACTATCTATACTATTTTGGGGGGTCCCTTACTAGAAGTATAGTATAATATACCCCAAAACCCTATTCTAATTATTCAGGCTCCTATATTCGGTTTTAGGGCTTGGTGTTCAGGGTTTAGGGCCCTGTCGGTTTGGGATGTTGCAGGGCTCCGACACAGGGCTTTCTCCGACAAGTTCTAAGCCACAGATTTCGGTTTCTGGTGGGTTTTAAAGATCAGCCTGAACCCGAAGCCTTAAACCCCTCAACCCTATACTCTAAATTGTCAAACCCTAAAACCCTAAAGCTTACCCCCGATACTGGCGTCCCCGCTAAACCTCCGAAGTACAGGTAGCACTCCATTCCAAGCTTCTAACACTCTCAAGCACAAGTCCGAAAGCTTCTACAACCCTAAACTCTAAACTTAAACCCTAACGCGCTAACACCCTAAAACTTACGACCTTAACGCGCTAAACCTGGTCAAGAGTTTAGGAGGGTTTAGGGTTTAGGGTTGCTGCACCGATTTCGAGGTTCAGGGATTAAGGACACGGGTGGATGTTCAGGGTTTAGGGTGTTAGGGCTTTAGGGTTTTAGGGTACGGCTCCGGGTTGAGAGCCTTAACCGGCAAACCGTAAAATGCTTGAAGATTTTTGGGTGTAGGGTTTAGGGCTTAGCGCAGATGTCAGTTGTTTTTACAACCGGGGCCAGAATACTTGGCAAGTATCCCCGTGTACTCCTTGTTAATTCTACTACCATCCCCCCCCCCCTCCGCCAATTCCTTGCTTAAGACTCCTGTATTCCCAGAGAGCCCAATACGCCTTCATTTAGGAATATGGTTTGAGTATGCTTGAAACCATAATCTGAAGCCACTTGTAATCTAAGGTGTATTCCTTAAGTAAGGGTGGTCTTGGGCTCCCTGGGTTATGGCCTTTCAGCTTGTGCCAGGCACCTGTACAGCTTTTGGACCTTGCCAAGGTGGGACAATCTAAGGTTGAAACCATGGGCCCCTAGTATTGGCCCTTAAACCTGAGATCCTTGTACACCTACTTATATACCCTATATGTACCCTTCAGGGTCCCTTTAAAGGCCTAAGGGTCCATATTAGGGGCCCATACTTCCAACCTGAGTGACACAGGTCGAAGGGAGTCTGCGGCATGGCTTCAGTGTGCATTGTAGTTCCTTTTAAGGGTGAACCGATTATAGATCGAGGATCTTATATGTTAACCCCAAAAAGGAATTACGGTAGAGACTATAGTAGGCTTTGGTGCTTTACTTAGTTTCCTTGTTTTGGTGGGCATGATGCTTTTTGATGGCGGGTCAGAGGTCGCTCCAGGATGTTCTGGGTCGGCTAGGATCTTCCTGTGGATCCAAAAACCTACCGTTTTCAGGGTTAGACCCTCTAATTAAGGGTTCATAACCTACTATTTCGTAGGGTTTGGGGATACAGGTTGGGTTTACGACTTGAGTTTAGGATCAGGCTCTTCGACAAGTGATAAAAAAAAGGGACTTTGGGTTGAGGGCTCCAGTTCTGCGTGACCCTAAACCCTAAACCCTAAACCCTAAACCCCTAAACCCTAAACCCTAAACCCTAAACCCAAAGCCCCGAACCCCGAACCCCAACCCCTCTCTAGCAGGGGGTCCGCAGGGCGGCGCTGACGACTCTGAGACTTCGGTTTAGCTGAGCTTCTACTTTTAGGCTTTAGGCGGTTTGGGGTGTATGGGTTTATGTGTGTTTGGCATGGGTCTGAGTCTTGCGCATCACGCATCAGGTGTAGTGCTAGGGCCAGGGTGTGCCGTTCAGGAAGGTCCCTGGTCCAGGATTGTTCAGGACCTTGTTTAGGGTTTAGGGTTTAGGGTGTAGGGTTTAGGCAAGTCTGTGCATCCTCAGATTCTTCATGGAGCATATGACAGGGAACCTCGAGCACAAACACAAACTAAGCGTTGTGCTTTGCACCCTTTCACAAATTACTTGCGGTTAAACCCTCACACCAAAATCTAAAATACCCTCACCGTTTTCACAAGCACCGTCGCAAGGCCACCTTCGGCGAAAGCACACCCATCTTCGGTGATGCCGCGCACTGGCAAGTCGCCGCAAAGGGAGCGGTCTTGAAATTCGGACACATACTTTCCGAGGTTTGTTGGGTTTCGGGTTTGGGGTTGGGGGTTTAGGGTTTGGGGTAGGGGGTTCAGGGTTTGGAGTTTGGGGTTGGGGGTTTAGGGTAGGATCCTTGTGTGGGGTCTCGGTACTAAGGATCCTGTCTATATTCCGGGTTCTGATTTCTGAAATGTCCACACACACACACACACCGAAGAGTCTTGGGTTTCGGGGGGATTATCTGGATTATCTGGTTTAGGGTTTAGGGTTTAGGGGGCAAGGTGCGTATGTCGCTAAACGGTTCCGGGTCAGGCCTAGAGGTTTACGGAAGGTGTTTCACATCATGCTCTCCGTGGCGAAAGTCATTCGGACATTCAGTTCTGGAGCCTCCTCCATACACGCATTCTTAGCAGAAGTCGTGACCAACATAACACAAGAGCCAAAGTCTTCTGCCCTGTCCCCTCATGGAATCCCAAGCTCATAGCAGCAGCGGAAGCATAAAATTGAAGCCCTGGCCCAACGGTCGAACACCGCTTATAGAAACCCTTATAAACTAGGGTTTAGGGTTTTGGGTTTATAGTAGAACCCTTAGAGGAACGCTACATGGAACCCTATTCCCATTGTTAAGGCCCCTCTGTTAGGCACGGGTTTCTGCACCGCCTGGACGTGCCTTGCTCTGGCCTTGTCCTGCTGGCAACGACATACGAGGCTTTCTACGCTACGCGGCAAGGTTGAGAGTTCTGGAGCCTGTTTCATCTTCGTGAAAATTTATTCCCGAGGGCTCAGTAGAAATAACCCTAAACCCTAAACCTCTTTGTAAGTCCAAGGAGGTTGGATTTTGAGGTTGCAGAGCTTGTAGGTTTAGGGGATCTGTGAGTCAGGGTTGAGCCGTAAAACCTGGACACCGTGCCTAATGCAGGGGCCTTAATCCTTAATAATTCGAATAGGGTTCTGGGGTATAGTATTAAATAAGGAACACCCAAAACCCTATTCCAAATATTGAGGCCCCTATATTATATACACCCTGAACCCCCAGGCCTTACAAGTAACATTCTTGATCCTACATGAAGCCCTAAAACCCTAAAGCCCTAAAACCGTAAACCCCAAACGCTGAAACCCTAAAACCCTAAACCCCAAATCCTAAAGCCCTAAACCCTAAAACCCTAAAGCCCAAAAACCCTAAACCCTAAAGCCCTAAACCCTAAAACCTAAAGCCCTAAACCCTAAAACCCTAAATAGTCCATGGACAAAAGACAGAAGCTTAGGACCATGAACCAACCCCTACCTGGAGCCTCAGAAACCTACCTTTTTTACGGTTAGGGTTTAGGTTTAGGG